TTAATCTCACACCAAAAATTCTTCGATCTGATAATGGCGGCGAGTACACAAGTCATGCCTTCCGCTCTTACCTACAGGCAAACGGCATCCTTTACCAGCTGTCGTGTCCTCACACACCCGAGCAAAACGGGATGGCTGAGCGAAAACACCGCCATTTGCTTGACCTCACTCGTGCCTTGCTACTTGATTCCGGCTTACCCTCAAAATTCTGGACCTCGGCTCTCTCCACTGCCCACTACCTTATCAATCGCCTACCGTCCAAATCTATCTCTAACAAAATCCCGTATCAATTCCTCTACAAGCAACCGCCGCTCTACGATCATCTTCGCACTTTCGGTTGTCTGTGCTTTCCCTGGCTAAAGCCTTACTCCGCCGAAAAATTATCCCCGCGATCACAGCCCTGCATTTTCATAGAGTACTCCGATCACTACAAAGGTTATCTCTGCCATAACATCACCACCGGTCGCACTTATGTCTCTCGTCATGTTCAATTTTATGAACAAAATTTCCCTCTCAAACAATCAGTCTCTTCCACACCTATGGCAACAAACCGAACCAGTGTCAATCTCCCGCCTCTTCTTCTTACGCCAACTTATCCTACTTCTTCGTCCATGGTGAAACCCATTCAGAACCCACCCAAACATTATGATCTCCCTAATTCGATCCCAACCTCACATTCATCCTCATCTGCTCCCTCGGCTAATGTTCAAAACGATCACACTCTTCAACCAGCCGCCACGACTCACCCAATGCGAACACGCCTAAAATCAGGAATTATCAAACCGAAACTTGTCTTTAATCTTCTTGCTCAACTTACACCGCATGACATCCCGACCTCTTATATTCAAGCTCTCAAAACTCCGCACTGGCGGTCCGCCATGAAAATCGAATTTGATGCTCTTCAAAACCAAGCAACTTTGTCTCTTGTTCCCCCTCCGTCCGGCAAGCCCATACTTGGTTGCAAATGGACATACAAGGTCAAGACTCGTCCCAACGGTCAGATCGAACGTTACAAAGCTCGCCTAGTGGCACTCGGCTACGATCAGCAGCACGGCATCAACTACGATGAGACCTTTAGCCCCGTTGCGAAGATGCCAACAATCCGGGTCCTTCTCACTTTGGCACTCAACCGGCAATGGCCAATATACCAGCTAGACATCGCCAATGCCTTCTTGCACGGCGATTTGACCGACGACATCTACATGAAACAACCACCGGGCTTCATTGATCAAGCCCAACCACACGCGGTTTGTAAACTCCACAAATCTCTCTATGGACTAAAACAAGCGCCGCGCCAATGGTTTCAGAAACTCACCGGATTCCTTCAACAACAAGGCTTCGGGTTCAGTCGTTCCGATCCTTCACTTCTACTATTCAACAAAAACAATATTTCTATCTACATACTAATCTACGTAGATGACTTTCTTGTGACAGGAAACAACGACCTCATGATTCAACGGCTGCTTCAACAGCTCAGCAACCAATTTGCCCTCAAACAGCTTGGCCCGATTTCTCTTTTCCTCGGAATTCAGGTAACTCGCTCCTCTACCGGCTTCTTCCTATCACAGGAACACTATGCTACTAAATTGCTCAATGACGCAGGTTTTAAGGACTGCAAAACAGCCCCGACACCAATGACTCCCCCGAAGACACACCAAGATCCGAACCTTCAACCATTCACAGACCATTCCCTCTATCGCCGCCTCGCAGGTTCCTTACAATACCTGTCCATAACCAGGCCGGACATTGCATTTGCAACAAACCGAATTTGCCAACACATGCAATCCCCGACTGTGCATGATTACAAGGCCCTCACACGCATACTAAGATACATCAAGGGCACATTACGCTTCGGACTACCTCTCACAGCAGGATCTCTTGAGCTGCGATCCTATACAGATGCAGATTGGGCATCAGACACTACCGATCGGAAGTCAATATCGGGCTTCTGCACATTTCTAGGCTCAAATTTAATCTCATGGACCATTCGGAAACAAGCTACAGTCGCAAAGTCGTCCATGGAAGCGGAATACAGATCTCTATTCGCGACAGCATCCGAAGTAATTTGGCCTCGCCGCCTAACCGCCGAATTGGATACTCCGCAACCTTCCCCAACTACCATCCATTGTGACAACACCTCTGCAATGGCCATCGCCAAAAATCCGGTGTTTCATGCACGGACAAAGCATATCGAGATTGATTATCACTTCATCAGACAACAAATACAATCCGGCAACCTTCAGCTATCACATATCTCCTCTCAAAATCAAATAGCCGACATTTTAACCAAGCCGTTTTCAATCACTCGCTTCCAAGAACTCCGCACCAAATTAACCATTCGGGAACCGAATGCTTAACTTGAGGGAGGATATTAGATTACAACGGCTAGTTTTGTACTTAGGACATTATTGTATTTACTTCATTGCCATCTCCCTGTATCTATAAATACAGGTTACTGTAACTGTTTTCAGACAATGGATTAATCTAGCTTATTCTCTTTCCCGGTTTTCTACTTCCTGTCTTTCCCGCTTTCTCCTCAATTTGAACATACGATGTAAGATCTAGTGACGTTAACATCTCATAATCTATGAATAGAGGGCGGATTTAGAATGCAATCATAATCAGGCTAAACTGACATGAAAAATATGTTCCATCTAATGATTCGTAATAAGTTAGATGAAAAGGAACCATTGCATTGTTAGTACAAACTAAAGGAGATGAGAAGGTGCATGGCTATTCAAAATTTTGAAGGATGGCTAAGTCTGGTGATTTTATCGAATGTATGCCTATCATTAAAAAAAAAATTCAAATATAAAAAAGTTACTCGCAAACTCGGAGTGACCCTTGTCATATTAATTAAAAAGATTGCAGCCAGTTGGTAGGAGAACCTAAAGAGACAACACCTTTGCAAATGAGAGAATAAATATTTTACATTAAAAACCTAATAAAATTCATTCGACATGATTCCTTTCTTAAATTTTATGTTGTTTAGGAGAAGTAATTGTCCATTGAGGAGTTTATCATCAATTTTGACCAATTTATGATAAAGTGTGATGTTATTGAATTATTAGTGTATGATTCCTAAGTTTTATTAAGGGGAATATCTAATGAAGTCCAATCACAATAATATTTTAATTCTTTAAAGTAGTCAAGTTGGCAATAAAATTCAAACGACAACAACAAATCTCCAATTAATGATTGAGGTTCAAGTCTAAATTAAATTGAGAATCTCCTCTTACTATCATGTTCTAATTGACGGGTTTCACAATAGGTAGATGTTGGGAGGAAGTAAAGAGAGTCATACCATACCAAAATATTAACTATGAAATTTGGGAGAAATAGTATTTCCCCATCGTATAACCCTATGTTCCCATACCAAAATATATCTCTTCTCTTTCACTCTCCCATTGGTTCTCTTCACTCTTGCATTGTTCTCAAACTAGAACATATAGAGTGATACAATAAAAAATCATCCATGAATACAACCCTTAATGAAAAGACGAAAAAGAAAATTGGCCAGCTGGCCTTACAACCCTACAATGACAGGTTAGAGCGCCGCGACGCTTTCACTTTATGATTTCAATTTGCACATAACACAGTAGCACCAAGTCTAGAGTGTCAAATGATCCATAGTAGTGTCGAGATTTGTAGCATAGCAACACTCATCTTCTCTATCTTTTTCGTCAAACTATGCAGCACCGGGGGCTTTGGTACTCAACGCCTGAGGGGCTTTGGTACACAGCACCGGGGGAGAACCCCCTACAACCCCCTAGCAAGCTTAAAAAATTGAATTAAGATCCAAGATAATAGTACAACCAAATTGATCAACACAATCAGATTCCTCATAGAACTAACAGTAGAGTCATGACAAAACAGATATTATCTAATTAGATGGATATATAAAACATTTAACAAATTTGGATATGTTTAGGCATTAGAAGCATTTAGATGAATTTGGTATATCTTAATATGAATTTGTTATATCTGAATATAAGAGTGTATTATTTAGGTTGATAACTTGATTAAATATGTATATCATTTTTTTCCTAAGCAAAAATAACTTATTTTTTTCCTAAGCAAAAATAACTTATTTAGGGATGGGTTAATTTAGATGATTATGATTCATTATGAAATTACGTGCCTTCATTTAGAAATGATGTGCATATAAGTAGATTTGGCATGTTTTGATGTAATATAAGACTAAGCATTCAAATACGACCAAAATCTTTAGAATCATAAACATATATGATTAATTGAAATTATAGGCTATTTTAGCATACATAGTGACTAGGGCTTCGTTTGGGATGATTTTCTTACTGCTTTTCAAAGCATTTTTTAGTTAAAAATATTTTTTGAATTAAAAATTTTTATAATAAAAATTCGCTTTAAAAAGTCGTAAGAAGTTATCCTAGGTGAAACTTAAAAGATATAAAAGTCATGGATAATGACTCTCTCTCTCACACACACAAATCCCTTTTTTCAACTTCTAACAACCCCCCTATAATGATTTGTAACTTTCCCCATTATAAATAATTCAAATTTATTTAAAAGAGTTCATTGTGACGTTTTACGGCTTATGATCATCCTTTAGTAAATAATACATTGCTTTAAAGACGACGACAACGCTTGAGAAATTTATATTTTAACAGTCATCTTCTTCGAGCATTTACAATATCATGTAAAATTGTTTCCTATATTACTATTGTAAAAATAAATTTATTCAAAAATAATATTTGGATATATTTATTTAATAAAATAAATAGCATAAAATTTGTTAAATTAGTTATATAATGAGGCATATAAATCATATTTTGATTATTTGATTTATATTTTTAAATAAATTTTTATATTTTGTTTAGGAGGCCAAATATTTTCCTATCACATAATAATTGAGCGATTTAAAAACATTTTATTTTATTTTATATTTTTATTGAAATGACATCTACAAGCTGTATAATTCCGAGCCGCAAAGCAACAGTATAAAATTCTATTACGCCGGCTCAAGCAACCATAACTTCGGAGGGTGAAGAGGGAGAACAACTCCAGGTTTCCTATTGACCTTCGCTGCCCTATTGTTGGCCTCATCTCTCTTCCCCCTTCCTCGAACTTAGGGTTTCTTCCACGAATTCCACTCCAATCGCCATCAATTTGTTGCCTTCCCTCTAACCCGGAATCAAAATTCGTCCTTGTTCGCCCATGCGCGACCTCGCCGTGCCTTCAAAAGAGCGTCTTTGATCTTTACTTCTCTCATTCATCTTCCTGTAGGGCTTACAATTTGTTCTTCTCATCCCCAATAAACAAAAATACAGTTTGATTCTTTATTCAATACCGTCCATGTCGGTGCCTGCTATTGCCCTTTACTCGGGTCCGCCGGGTGGCATCTACACGGGAGATCTCGACCTCAATCCCCGCCCTTCTTCGTCCTCTACGCAGCGGCCGATGTCCGGTGGGCTTTCCTGCCTTTTCTCCTCGCCCGCTTCCCGCTCATCTGCTGGCATATCTACCTCAGTTGAGGAACTCAACTCTCTCCGGCAAGATCGCTGCGACGACCTCAGCTGCTCCTTCTCCTATTCTTCCTCCTTAAAATGCCGGGACCATAGCCCTGTCTCTGTCTTCCACGGTCCAGTCTCCTGCAGCTCCGCAAGTAGCCAATCGAGAAGTCCTCCGTCGATTAGGGTTCCTTCTGGCGATTGGAAATCGGGGAGAGACCGTATTTTTTCTCGTTTTGTAAGGAGCGCCCTCGGTTCGTGCTTGGATTACGACTCTCCTAGCTTTCCGATGCCCGGCGGCTTAGTTGAGGAGGAAGAGCTTGCCTTTAGTTTTGAGGACAGTTTCGGCAATATCTTACCTCGGAGCTGCGAGCCTTATGCGTTGAGATTGCTTGCAGGAGCTCAATCAAGGCATAAGATCTTTCATGAAGATATTGTAATTAAGGCTTTTTTTGAGGCTGAGAAGGCTCACAGGGGGCAGGTGAGTTGAGTTTGAGTATTTCCTGTTATTTTACGATTGATTTTTTCTGATCAATGTTTGGGGGTGATAAAGATCTGTTATTTTTTTTTAGGTAAGGGCGAGCGGTGATCCATACTTGCAGCATTGCGTGGAAACGGCAGTGTTGTTGGCACAGATTGGTGCGAATTCTTTGGTTGTTGCTGCAGGCCTGCTGCATGATTCTGTTGATGATTCTTTTATGAGTTATGGTTACATTTTTCGAATGTTTGGTGCTGGGGTAGCTGATTTAGTTGAAGGGGTATGCTCTTTTCTCCTCTTTCCCTTTCTCATTTTAAACTTTTAGCTATTGCCTACTGAGTAGTTCGGTAGTTCTATGAAGTAAGTGACCTAACGGCATTGAGTATTTTGAAAAAAAAAAAAAAAAGGTCTGTTTTGTAGATCGTGAGTTATATGTATTTAGTCTCACTTTATTCAGATTTGATTCTTTTTATGATGAAATTTATATTTCTTTCTTTCGATCTGCAACAGCAAGAACAGATTTTTCTTCTGAAATAAATTTCATATATCCTTGTTAATGTTTTTTATGATTGGAAATTCATTGTTTTGAAAGCTTTTTTCTTTCATTTATTTCAGGTTTCTAAACTTAGCCAGCTGAGCAAGCTTGCTCGTGATAACAACACTGCAAGTAAGACCATTGAGGCAGACCGGCTGCACACAATGTTTCTTGCAATGGCAGATGCAAGAGCAGTTCTTATAAAGTTAGCAGACAGACTTCATAACATGATGACACTTGATGCTTTACCTTTGGTCAAGCAACAGAGGTTTGCAAAAGAAACGCTGGAAATTTTTGCTCCTTTAGCCAACAGATTAGGGATTTTCACTTGGAAGGAACAGCTTGAGAATTTGTGCTTTAAGCATCTTCATCCTGAGCAGTGCGCGGAGCTTTCTTCTGAACTCGAGAGTCATTTTGATGAACAGTTGATTGTATCAACCATAGAAAAGTTAGAGAAGGCTCTTAAGGATGAAGGTGTTTCCTATCATATTCTTTATGGCAGGCAAAAAAGCTTATACAGCATTCACCGCAAGATGCAAAAGTATGCATTTCAATCAATTTTTTTTTTTTTACTTGTATTCGTTCCATTTTCTTGTTTCCTAACTCAAGCTGAAATCTTTTTTTTGCAGGAAGAAGCTCCATATGGATGAGATCCATGACATTCATGGTTTGCGTTTGATCGTTGAGAATGAAGAAGACTGCTTTGCAGCGCTCAATGTTGTTCATGGTTTATGGCCCAAAGTTCCTGGAAGATTCAAAGATTACATAACGTATCCAAAGTTTAACGGGTAAAAATCCTGACTTCTTATAGTTTATGTTTATCTGTGTGCATATCATAATGATGGTCGTTATCTTGCAGGTATCGATCTTTGCACACTGTTGTTATGAGCAAGGAATGCATCCCTCTTGAAGTCCAAATCCGAACAAAAGAGATGCATCTGCAGGCAGAGTTTGGATTTGCTGCTCACTGGAGATATAAAGAAGGAGACTGCAAGCACTCATCTTTTGTGCTCCAAATGGTGGAATGGGCAAGATGGGTGGTCACTTGGCAATTGGAAACCATGAGGGATGACCAGGCTTCTTCTCTTGGTGGTGGCTCAACTTTGATGAGGCCATCATGCCCATTTCCGTCTCATTCTGACGATTGCCCCTTTTCCTACTCCCAGCAATCTGACCGTAATGGACCTCTTTATGTCATCATGCTTGAGAATGAGAAGGTAAGGCTTTTAAGCAATTTTGAGAATTGATTTGTAGCAATGATTAGTTCCATTTATGCTTCTAGAGCATGTCACGATCTGGCCCGGGGGCTCGAATTAACGAGCCGGAAATATATGGTCGGATAAAAGATTAAATTTCTAAAACAATTTCAAAACTGAAAGAGCCGCTAAAACCTCAAAATTAAGAACAAAATTTCATAAATACCTTTCATTTGGAATGTTTTGCCTACGGTATACGTTTTCACATCTTCTATTCATTTTGATTATATTAATTTATTCCTTAAAAATAATTTCCAATAAAAAAAGAATCAAAACAAAACTCAGTGAGTAAAACATGCTTCTTAAATATAGTAATACAAGGCATTGAGAACAATATGCATAATCATTCTATAACATAAGCTCGGGAGTTCGAATTAACGAGGCGGGAACATATAGTCGAACGGTAAAATCTTAATTTAATTTTCTAAATCTATGATTTTACCATCCGACCATCTATTCTTGCCTCGTTAATTCGAGCCCTCGGGCCGGGTGTCGTGACAGAGCATGCGTCCAAATCATGGAAACAATTTTTCTAAGTTGCAGCAGTAAGAATGATTATATCAACATACACAAGCATGTCATTGGTTGGTTCTCGACTTCAATGTTGCCCCTATATTCAACTTTTTCCCTTCTTTTCATATCCTCATCTTATGGCTCCACAGATTTTTCAAACTTTGCATTAATTTTTTAATTTTCTCTGTATTGTTCCATGCTTGAATCAGTTTTTAAGTAATATTACGATGATTGCATTCCATTCTTTGGATAAACTGGCAATCAGGCAAGCGTAAAATCTTTAGCATTCTATTGCCTCTTTGTGAACTTCTGTTCTGATTATGACTAGAAACAGCAATTTGGTGCCTTTATCCTTGATAGCCAGCATTGGCGCTTCATTGGGTCTATTTATTTGACACTTCGATTTGAATTTCTTCAGATGTCTGTCCATGAACTCCCGGAGAACTCAACAGTGATGGATGTGCTTGAAAAAGCTGGGCGAGGCAGCTTTAGATGGAGCTCATGTTCCTTCCCTTACAAGGAGGAGCTGAGGCCTAGACTGAACCACAAGCCAGTGAGCGACCCGTGTCAGAAGCTGAGGATGGGCGACGTAGTAGAGCTAACACCCTCTATCCCTGATGAGTCTTTGGTGGAATATAGAGAAGAAATTCAGAGAATGTATGATAGAGGATTAAGTTTGTCTAGTCGTTTGAAAAGAAGCTGACAAGTTTTAATGTTTTTTTAACTATATTGTGTTCTAGGCCTCAGCAGGCCCTGCTTACCATTGATTCATTGTAAATATAAAGTAATTTGTAATGGTAAACTGTATATGCAGCAGTTCATAGAAATCTATCCATTTGTTCTATTTCAATTCAATTAAAGCTACCACGTATAATCCAATAACTCCTACTTGGGAGGCGGATTACGACCTGAAATCTTTCATGATATAGAATTCCAAGACAGTAAAAACTACTCAAATATTATTCATCCAAAAAGCTTTCTATTACAATCAATAGCTACCTATTTATAGACAAAGGTAGCAATCTATTAGGCTACACACAACATAAGCAAGCACTAATCCTGTATAGTCATACAAAGAGTCATACGAAATTAATCTAGCCTGAAGTTAACATGTTTAAGTGGTTCAGCTACAGCGTCAAGCCCTATGATGGCAATGTATATCTACAGTCTATTTGTATTGTTTGTTCAAGTCTACTAGTACTGACTTGATGTTCTGCAGGTTGCCCTTGGCCTTTGATAGAATATTGAGATTCGCTGTATGGTTAGGCATCTTGCTGTAGATGATGATGAATAGATAGTGCCGAATGAAGAGATTAGCTATAGAGTTTAATGCGAACTGAACTTGTTCAATGATTTTGCCCCACAGTGTTTGGCTATAGAGTTTAATGCGACTAGTCAATCTGTTCCTTTGCAAGTACATAGTTAATGAATGTAAAGACATTCTGACATATGTGTCAAACTCATAAAGATTGCTAAATCTACCCCATACATGATCTTCAAAAGTTACAGTCCGGGACGTGCGGGGCAGCTCAGTGATTGAGCACGAGCAATGTCTCCCGTCGGCTCCCGTTCGATCCTAACGGCAAAAAAAAAAAAATTACAGTCCAGTCTTCAAACAATAATATTAATGATAATGATTTATCCATTGAAGAACATAGTCACTTCTCATCTTAAGAAAGAAGTTTGTAGGAAGAAATTTTGCATAAGGGAATACTCCATTAGTTCTGATTAGGGAAGTTGCTACTATAGGTCTAGAAGTTGCTTCAGATGGTAGATTGTATGATAGATTCCTAGCATCAAAATATAAATCTGGAATTAGATTCTGTAGTGTTAAGAACATTGCAATTGACAGGGAAGAGAATTTGAGCTCTTACAGAACTCAAAAACTTGTACATGGCCCTGATCAAGCTAACATTTTTCACACCAAACAAAGCCAAAGGTTGCAAGTTAATAAATTTATCCAAACTTGAACTCATTATAGAAATTGAAAGTGCATTTGAATGACATAATGAAGGAAATGAAATTCATGTTTTATGGCTTCACTTTAAATCTGCAACCATTCGTTGAGCTATTTCTAAAGCCTCATAGTTTCTTTCCTTTCAAATTTTCTTGTCCATACGTAATTATTCTGTGTGGACACCGGACGCAGCTCTATGTCCGGAGGCGAATCAGGTGCAGCCATGTCAGCGGTACCGAGCCGCGATACCGAGCGAAAGGGTGATGTGTCACATTATGATTGGTCTCTGGACGGCGTTCGGCGTCCGCATAGAATAATTTTTTCTCTGAGGCACTCACAAATACCAAACCCATTTAATTGACACATATCAGGATTGGAGAGAGGCTCCCCTAATTTGTTTCCTCGAAGAACAATGCTTCAATCTATTAGCTCTTCACAGGAAGATTATCATAAAATTATTTCATTTAGTAACATAAAAAACTTTTAGAAGTGAAAAACTAAAACTTTGCAAATTTTTAATATAAGAGTATTTCATTTAGTAAAAATTAAATATTATTAATAAAAAATAAAATAAAAATTTTCCACAAAAACTACAAAAATTAAATATTATTCAAATTATAAAAATTAATTATTTATATTATAATTTATATCATATAATTTTTACTCATGACAAGAGCTATTAATGTAGAATCCACATTAATCATAAAGACATGGCATTGATGAAATAATAATAATATTATCTTTAATTTAATTTAAGAGTTTTATAATAATATTTATATTAATTATGATTAAGTTTAATATTTATTTAATATTAAATTATTTATTTAACTAAACTATTATTCTAAAAACCCGAACCGGTTTTAAAAAATCGGGATTGGTTTACCGGTTTACCGGTTGAATCGGCGGTTCTTCCAACAACCGGCTGGTTTAAAGCAACAAGGCCTGTTATCAGACTTGAACCGGACCGGCCCTCAAACCGGTTGAACCGGTTGGACCGGCCGGAAAGCACTGAGATTATGTGTTCTATGACATGGGAGTTTCACTTTCAGGCAATGCAATACTTCGTTCCAGTAGATAAGCCTGTGTATCTCCCTACTCAATTTGTTCCGAGCCAAGTCCGTTTCAAAACAGATTATAGCGAATTCAGTCAGATTTAAGAGCTTTGATCAGAACCAAAAAAAAAACGAATACATACAAATAACTTGAGAAGCTTTTGAGAGAATTGGACCAGTCAACTGGTTGCTTTTCAAAAGCCTGAAAGTATCAGTGATCAAGCTTTTGTGTTAAGGCCTAAGGGACATCAAGAACTGCCCAAGAAATTTTAAATTATCTGAGACTTACAAGTTAACGAGTGTAGCAATTCCTCATGGCTCTGCGCTAAAATAACTGTTGCAAAAGTCAGGCGCTATAGATTATACACGGAATATTTCATAGGAGTGACAGTATCAACTCATAGAACAAAAAAATTGTTAGAGGTTGTTTGTTCAGATGTATTAGAAGTACAGAGTAAACTAAGGTTTCGTTTGGGACGGTTTTTTTATTGCTTTTTAAGACGGAGTTTTAGTACAATTTTTTTTTTATTTTTTACTAAAACTCTGTTTTAAAAAGCAATAAAAAAGCCGTCCCAAACGAAGCCTAAGCATATTGATTTTGAAATTTAGATATTTAATTGAAATAAAAATAAACTTTATTTTTTTGTCTGATTTATATAAAAAAAATGTTATTGTTAAACCCAACATTGAAATATTTTAGAGTAAGAAGCTTTGAATATTTGTAAAATGTGCTCAATTATAAAAATTTATATATAATTGCATAAACTGAGCTCACCCATCTACTCCTATTTGTAGATTTGGATTAGAGATTGAGTATTATAGAATTGGTTAATTACTATTCAAAAAAAAAAAAAATTATGTATCTCAATCGAAAGTTCAACTTGATGTTGTCATCTGCTGAGCTCTTAAGAAGTCGACAAGTTGACGTGCATTAATAGTCGAGTAGCTGAGTTGCGGATCAATAGTTACTTTGAGAACTCATCCCTCTTTGAATAATTGTCAGGGCCAACTTCATGGATATTTGTAGCTAAGGCTGACTAGTAAGCTTTACTCACCAATTGAGAGAAGTCCTTAGATCATGGTTGCCTGTTTGAGACGAGTTCCCTTATAGGCCAAAGAGTTTGAACCTAGTACATGAAGTTAACCGGGCTTGAATTAACTTGATTTAGCTTGAACCAAGTAAAAACGATCTCAAATCAAGTTTTCTGGTTATTTGAGCGTACAATAGTTCCTCGATTCTCTTATATTTTTGGAGGTTTATCGCAAAATAATAAAAGAACATAAAATTATTTTTTATTAAATAATCATTCATCATTCATTAAAAATTATTTTAATTGTAGACATTAGCTAATCAGTTTGATGTTGAGTTCCAACATTATCTTTTTATCCATGCTAATCAATGCTTAGCTTATAAGTGAGGGGTTATTATTTCTTAATCAAATGCTTGATTCTTCCATCTTCTTCCTCTCTTTATTGTCTTTGAGCTATGCAATTCCTTTTTGTCCCTGCTAAGAATGTAGGTTCCAAAAGACAAGATTAATAACCAAAAAGAGAATATTAGCAATTGGGTGTAGAGGCGAAAGTCGGAGAAGTGGTCTATGAAGTGATTGAAGATCAATGGTTATCTTGTTTGATATCTTAAAAGAGAGACTAAGACTTCGTTTTGGACGGCTTTTTTATTGCTTTCTAAAACGGAAATTTAGTACAAATTTTTTTATTTTTATATTAAAATTCCGTTTTAGAAAGCAATAAAAAAGCAGTCCCAAACGAAGCTTAAATCAAATTTATCAAATTTTCTACAACTACGATCTGTATCTTTCAGTTCAACTTCTTTTATTTTTGTCCATTGAAATGCGAAAAAAATTATAATGATAGAAAATTAATTTATTTGCACATCAATTTAAATAAATTTACTTGTTATTTACTTATCTAGAAAATATTATGATAATTCTTGACAAGGACATCCCACGTGTGACCTGGATAAAAAATACTTTGCTGAAGCAGATAGTTGTTCATGTCAGATGATAGCTAGAAAGTTGTTAATTCACCTGCAATTGATGCATTGATAAACTTTTTTTTTAATAGAAGTAATGAAGGCCAAAGACCAATGTCATTGAACTAAATCTGATTACAAGTATGATAATGAAAATTATAAAACAAAAGTACAAGATTGATGCAGAGTTAGGCTAAGATTAAGTTGAAAGAAGAAAATACCCTTTACAAAAGTTCATAAACATTTTTTAACCCTGTATGGATAGCCATGCAACTGTATAGGGATTGCTTAATCGAGCACTCCTTAAACCAAATTTACTTCCACTAATCAATCTTTACATAGTTATAAAAGATGTAATTCTTTGCATCAGCATTAGAGAAGGTGGTAGCCTCTCTCGAAGTTATAGTATCAGTCTCTAAGGGACAAGGAAGATTTTAGATGAGAGAATAACAGTCTGAATTCTCAGGAGCCAGAGAGTTAGGGAGCCTCAAAATTTCATTTGAGATGATGACACAAAGGTTGGATTTTGAGGGGAGATTAAAAATAGAGTAACAAGCATTTCCTAACCACTTAAAAAGAGAAGACCCCTCAAGCCAAGGGTCATGAAGTAAGGAAAAACTCAAGCCATTACTAACTATGTAATGAAGTTTCCTACTTATAAGAATAGCAACTACTTAGATCTCTTTTCGACATTGGAGAGACTTGCAATGAACAAGTTTTTCCAAATAGAACCATAAGAACTGGCGCACCAATTAGATAGATCACCATTAGAATGAATGATTTTTCAAGCCATTTTCATTTTGTAAATGAGGTGAAGAATAGTAGTTTGAGCCTAGGGTTGCAAACGAACTGAGCCGAGCCAAGTATGTGAGTGTTCATGTTTGTGTTCATTAAATATCAGGTAGTTCAAGTTTGGTTCATGTTTGTTCGAGCTTTATTATTTATGTTTATGTCTGTTCATTTAAATTATTGAGTGTTCATGTTCGGTTCATGTTCGTTCGTTTAATGCTTATCGAGCTTTAAACAAACAAACATAAACGAGCTCTACTTTTAGATGTTCATTAACCCAATACCAACACTGTTCTCAAGGCCAGCGAACGGTGAATGAATATACAGAGGAGTTTTACCGCCTGAGTGCTCGCAACAACCTCCAGGAATCCGAGAATCAGCTAGTAGCCAGATACATTGGTGGTCTGAAGGACCTCATACAGGATAAATTAGAGCTCAATTCCGTTTGGACTTTATCCCAGGCAGTAAACTTTGCTCTGAAAGCCGAAAATCAGTTATTGCGGCACTCCCGTGGCAGCGCCTCAGGAAGCTCTTCCAGACGGGTATACGGCGACTCCAATGTTCATAGCTCCAAGACAAATCCGTATGCTACTAGCCCAATTTCAACTTCCCGTAATCCTCATGTCAACAATTCTTCAAATTACAACCGTGATACCACTGTTGAACCTAAAGGCACACTTAAGGCCTCAGTTCTTCCGAGGGATAATCCTTATAGCAAACCTGGGACACTGAAATGCTACAGATGCTTCCAACCTGGACACAAGTCCAATGAATGCCCAAATCGACAGCGAATTCAAATATTGGAGGGAGAAAATCCTCCCCTGGAGGTTGCTCCAACCTCGGCTGAGCTTGAATCCGATGTTGGAATTGAAGAGGTGCACGGTGACGACGGTGAGCCTCTCATCTGTGTTATACAAAAGCTTCTGTTAGCTCCCCGCACTCCAAACCATTCACAGCGAAATGCCTTGTTCAAGACTCGATGTACTATACAAGGAAAAGTCTGTGAATTGCTAATTGACAGTGGTTGCACCGAAAATGTGATTTCGCGTTCTGTAGTGCATGCCTTACAACTCAAAACTACAAATAATCCTCATCCGTATAAGGTCAGTTGGATAAAAAAAGGCATGGAAGTAACCGTGACGGAGATGTGTCGCGTTACATTTTCGATTGGGAAACACTATGTCTGTGAAGTTCTCTGCGACATAATTGAGATGGACATCTGCCACCTTATCTTGGGCCGACCCTGGCAATACGATATGGGCGCCATTTATGATTGTCGACAGAACGTCTATACAGTGGATTGGAAAGGGAAAAAGCTAAGGCTGTGCCCACAGACTCCTACATTGTCTGGTTCAACCATTACTCATAATGCAGCTTACGTGGTCTCAGGTAAGCTTCTAGTGCAATCGCGGCAGGATGTTAAGGCCCTCTTAGCCTTAGTTGTAGCTGACAGCAACAAGGAAGGGGTTACTAGTTCCTATCCGTTGGAGATCCGAGAAATTCTGCATCAGTTTGCTGATGTAATTCCTTCAGAATTACCACCGGGACTGCCTCCTCTTCGCTCCTTGCAGCATCAGATCGAGTTTATTCCTGGCGCCACATTACCGAATCTGCCGCATTATCGCATGAGTCCAAAGGAATGTTCCATCCTACAGGAAACGATTAAAGAACTTCTTGACAAACAATTGATACAGCATAGCTTGAGCCCCTGTGCGGTACCTGCTTTGCTCGTGCCGAAGAAAGACGGCCAGTGGCGTATGTGTGTGGACAGCCGCGCCATTAACAAAATTACGGTGAAATATCGTTTCCCTGTACCCCGAGTCTCCGATTTGCTAGATCGTTTGGCCGGTGCCTCCGTTTTCTCCAAGCTTGATCTCCGTAGCGGCTATCACCAAATCCGCATTCGTCCCGGCGACGAATGGAAAACCGCATTCAAGACTCGTGATGGTTTATACGGACCTTATATATGCCTTTGAACTTACACTTTAATAAACTGAATATTCCACATATATTTCACTTTAAAAATAAGATTTTTTCTTTTTATTTTTAAATAAATATTTATTATATATATAAAAAAAACTTCCATGTGTTCATGTACAGTGTAATGTCTTCTGTATCAACATTTGAGCTTGCTGACACTATATTATCAACTATGGCTTTAATCTCAGTCGAGTATTGAGCCATGGTTAGATTTTTCATCTTTACATTATGCAACTCATTCTTGACTTGAATTACCCTTGATCTATTAGACGCCTGTAAACGACATTCTATTGTTGTCTAGATTGCAGAACATGAATCAATATTTATAATATACGGCAAGATCGACGAAGAGGTCGTAGAGCATATAGCTGCTGCTAAATTTTGATCAATTAGAAGCCATTCAGTGTACCTTGGATTTACAACTGTTGTATTGTTTGATAATTGAATCCAGCGAGACGGAGGAGATACTGTAGATACAAGAAACACTGAGAATCTGTTTCCATTCAATTGTTTTAGTACCTGAGACTTCCAAACAGCGTAATTTTCTTGTGTAAGCTTATTAGAGATGATTGCTTTGATGTTTGAAATGACGAATTTGAGTAAAAAAGGGAATTGACGAGATTAATCTTGAAAGTTAATTTATTGTAAACATGTTCTGTAGTTATGCTTGGTATACAGTCACTCACTATTAGCTCGACCATTCATTCAATACCATTACTTTATATTGTGGTTTCAGTAAATATTAGTAACTGAACAAATATAAACACAAGCAAGAAGAATGAATGCAGCTGAATTGGCTTCTTGTATTCATTCTATATGTTGTATAGATGTAGAATACATAACAGATACAATACTACAATATGTGGGATTAATTGCATATATGTTATTAGTAACATGTTCAGTGTTAATATTGACATATCTACAGTACAAATTATTACCTTAAAAATTCTGAGCACTGTAAACAATTCAGCGGGCTTACATGGAAGAGGAAGTTACTTCTCTGGATTTTTTTTTTAATGGAACTTAAAGAGGAAGTTACTTCTCTGGATTTTTTTTTAATGGAACTTAAAGAGGAAGTTACTTTATAAGATTTTTTTTTCTTGCTTAATTTTTCAACGGGCATTCAACGTTCTCAGAATGTACTGGATTTGTCTTATTCTTTCAATGTTTTCAATCTGACAGCTAGACTCTGGCTTTAATTTTGTTGGCTGGGATATTCTTTTAAATAGTGATGTGAAATGCTTCAACTGTAAACAATTCCTTGGAAATTTCTACAGAAATGGTGCCAGCAGTCCAGCAGTAATGGTGATGAAATAGTTCTTCGCAGCTCTGGCGTTCAAGTAGGTAGATGTTGGTAGTATTAGTAGTGAACTATCATGATAAACATTGAAACTAAGACCTATATATTGATTATTTCTTGAACAAAAGGATCTTAATGGATCAGGAATAAGTACTCTCTGAATTTTGAATTTTCTTTGTTTAACTTTGAGTTTGGTGGTGAGACTTGTAATGCTTTATGGTGCCGAATATTGGCCATTAAAAGAGAAGCATAATATGAAGTTAAGTGTTGTAGAGATGTGGATGCTCATGTGGATGAGTGGCTTTACTCTTAGAGACAGGATACGAAATAAGCATATACGTGAAAAGGTTTGAGTAGCTCAAGTGGAAGATAAGATTAGACAGAGCCGCCTTAGATGATTTGGTCACATAAACGGCGGCCTTCCCATAGTGGAACAAAAGCTTATGTTATTGTTGTTGTTGTTGTAGCTTTGCTTTTGTCGATAAATGTTCTGAAAATTTCTGCTACAAATCGTAGTGAAGATAGCTTAATTTCTGCTACAGATCTGTTAAGATTTTTAGTTATAAGTGTAAATATCTGAAGATATTTGGGATTTGTATGGCTGTGTATGAGATCAAAAGATTGCAGCTTTCTTAAGATTATAATATTTTCACGAGGCTTGGTGCAGTTGTGATAAAGCAGGATATATTACACTCATCACCGAAGCTTTTCTTACTGAAAGTCTGATTGATTGTAAACAAATATAAATGCCCACAGAGGAAACTTAAACAAGAAAAGTTCTAATGACCTCACTAGATTTCTGAAATGTAAGGGAATTTATATACAGTCAGATTTTCTAGAAAGAATTGGGTAAAGTGAATATTAATGATCATTTTAATGTGATTTAATGATCTGAATGTCATATAAGTAAATATTAAAGTAAATTATGTGTCATGTATGTAAATCCCTCTTAATTCAAATACTTCAGAAATTATCAAAACCTAGATGATCAGTTCATATCAGTAATATTACATTTCTAGTTTAAACAAGGCAATATTGACTCAATATCCTCAAACATAGGTTTGCTGTAAATTAAGTTTTGTTTGATGATATAACCCGGCTTAGATTTCATTTGGAATAGCTTTTTTATTGCTTTCTACATTAGCTTTTTAGTTAGTTGAAAGTTATGAAAAAGTTGTGGTCAAAAGCTGTCTCAAATAAAATCTTAGGCTTTGTTTGGGACTGCTTTTTCATCGCTTTTTAAAACTCAATTTTTATGATAGAACTCCGTTTTAAGAAGAAAAAAAAAAAAAACAAATCTTAGCCTTCATTAACATGTTTATACTACAAAGCTGCTTTAAAAGGCTATAAAAAATCGTCTCAAACGAACTCTTAATCTATGAATTCAGAGCTTAAACTATCAATCAAAAGATCTCTAATTTGAAATCTGTACATGAAGTATGCCTGAATTTATGATTTAACTCACTAAAAGTTATAATAAAAAACAAAAGAAGAAGAGCTGTTTGATGTGATGTCAGGCCTTTCTAATGCAAATTATATCCCAACATAATAAATGCGATCAAACTCGGTGCATTAATTTGGCAGGAGCTTTGTGAAGGTAATATGCTGAATAATGACTTGAACTTATTGCAATAACTATATATCAAATAAAAAATTCAAAGAAACTATTACAGAAGCATTTAGTGCTTACACTGTCGCCAATCAAATAGCCTAAAAATGCAATAACTTACCTTAAATTAATCCATTGCAAGTTACTTTCTGTATTTTTTTTTTACTTTTTATATCCATTGCAATGATACAAACAAGTGTGATATATTTATAAACATGAGATGATAACCTCTAATATATTATAATTAAACTTGATTAGGGACATCTTTTTAATTATAGTTAGTAAAAAATAATGTATTTTCAAGACAGTTCTTAATTATATATAACGTGCAAATTTTTTTTATTATTTGTTAAAGTAATTTTTTTTAATAAAAATTAATAGTTCAAGAAATTTTTGTACTAAAAAGTTGATTTGAAAAATAGTAAGAAAGTTGTATCAAAGGAAGTCTAAGGTTTCGTTTGGGACGGCTTTTTTATTGCTTCCTAAAACGGAGTTTTAGTATAAAAATAAAAAATTTTGTACTAAAACTCCGTTTTACAAAGCAGTAAAAAAGTTGTCCCAAACGAAGCCTAAGCCTTCATTTGGAACGGCTTTCTTGTTGATTCTTAGAGTAATTTTTTAGTCCTGTTTTAAGAAGCATCAAAAAAGCAGTCTCAAATGAAGTCTAACAGCTTTTATACTGCTTCATAAAACGGCTTTCTAATATAAAATTTTTTATATCAATAAATTTTTTATATTAGAAAACTATTTTATATAGCAACAAAAAAGTTGTCCCAAAGAAAGCTTCTGTCTTCGTTTGAGACGACTTTCTTGTTGCTTCTTAAAGCATCTTTTTAATATAAAAATTTTAATTTTGATATTAAAAAACCGCTTTAACAAGCAACAAAAAAGCCGTCCCTAACGAAGCCTAAATATCATTTTATGTTATAAAGTTCTAAATTTTGTGGATAGTAGGTATTGGCTTATGGGCACATGAGTCCAAATAAAATTTAGTAAGTGGGTCCTGTATCTTATTCTGTTCTGCTCTTTTAATAAAGGGTGGTCGGAGGAAAGCTCACCTCTTCTTCCTTCACGTTCAACTCGGTGCAGCTAATGTATCTGACAGCATTCTGTGGCTTTGGACTCACTTTGCCATCTATGACTACGGGAGAAAACTTTCATTCGTGGATTGCAATCTAAATTTTTAGTACCACCAGATATTTTCTCCTCTTCTGCATTTTTTATCCGTTTGGATCTGAACTGCTCCTTCCTCCTCGACATATAGGGGCTGTTTGGTAGCAGGATTTTCGCCGGATTTGTGGCGGATTTGAGCGAAATACAGCTAAACGGCCTAAAATGCAAAACCAAATCTCACTGCAAATGGAAGCTGCCGCAGACGGAAAATTCCATCTTTTCGTGCTAAATCCCGAATTTCCGAAATCCTCTTACTCTATTGGCACGGAAAAGAAGAAACTCTCAAAATTTTCAAGCTTCTTAATTCCTTCATGGAATAGCCAAACAGTCACATAGAATTTAACATGATTTATCATGAATGTTATCAAACAGTTTTCAGGATATAACGCCCTCAGGATTTTGTAAATCCGGATTTAGAGGATCTATGAAATACTTAAATGAAATCATGTGTGCTACCAAATAGCCCCATAGGGTGATTTGCCTTATTAAAAAAATCAGAGATTTCAGTCTCTCTTTTCCTCTGTTAACAATGTAGAAGATGTCTCATTGGCAGCTGAGGACATTACTAATAATGACAGAGAACGGGAACACGCTCTCGTTAGTTATGTTGTGGGTGGAAACTTTGCTATAATAACAAATCTATGAAAACTTAGGAAGTAATTTAGAACTCCTCGCCCTTGCCAAACACTTTTCCATTTCTTAGGTTCTTCTCTTGTTCTCAGAATTATGACATAAATTTGAATGGGAAGCATTGTTTCATTAATAGTAAGATATGGACCTTCAAAAAAATAAGCATGGAATTTTCTTTTTGTGAAAGAAGAGTTTAAAGAGAAATCAATATGGATCAAAATTTTGAAGTTTCTTCTCTGTTATTGAGCTAAGGAGGGTTTATCTATGATAGTGAGCAAGATTAG